ATAGCATACACTAAACAATATGATATAATAGGCATAACAGAAACATGGTGGGATGAGACACATGACTGGACAGTTAATTTAAATGGGTACACGTTATTTAGGAAGGATAGGAAAAACAAGAAGGGTGGTGGGGTAGGTTTGTATGTCAACCATGAGTTAAAGTCAAATCTTAGGCATGTGGAGTGTGACGAGGAAAATGTGGAAGCTTTATGGGTAGATATATACTTGGGGCAAACAAAGGGAAATCAATTATTGGTTGGGATTTGTTATAAACCACCTAATGTAAACATTAAAGAGGAAGAACAGCTGTTAGAGCAAATTGGAAAAAGCTGCAAATCAGGGTAATACGTTAATTATTGGAGACTTTAATTACCCGGACATAAATTGGGATAGAGTGACTAGTACTTCTGCATCAGGTTTTTGAATGTGTTAAATGACACCTTTATGTCACAACTGGTACAAGCACTAACTAGAAAGGATGCTTGTCTGGATCTCGTTATAACAAACAATGTTGATCTTTTGACCAACATTCAAGTAGGGGAGCATTTGGGAAATAGTGATCACAATATGGTCATTTTTTAAATAAACTCAAAAAAGCAAAATCACGTGGGGTATACTAAAACGTATAATTTTAAAAAAGCCAATTGCAATAAGATTAGGGCAGCTCTAAAACATATCGACTGGCACAAATTCCTTAGTGAAAAAAACACTGAGGATAAATGGAAACTATTCAAACAAATATTAGAAAGGTACATTTCTCAGAATGTACCATTGGGTAATAAATATAAAAGAAACAAATTGAAACCAATGTGGCTTAGTAGAGAAGTAAAACAAGAGATTAAAAATAAGAAAAGGACACATTTAAATCGGACAAATCAGAGGTATCCTAAATAAGATATAAGGAAGCAGGCCCGGACTGGCCATCGGGCATACCGGGCAAATGCCCGGTGGGCCGAGATGTCCGTGGGCCGAGGCCGGCAGGGGAGATCACAGGATCTCCCCGGCCGGCCCCTGCAGGGCCAGCGCTATCCGAGTGCCGGCCCTGCTGTGTGCCTCCATGGGCCGGTGGGGAGATCAAAGAGCTCCCTCACCGGCCCAGAGGCACTGTTACAGGCAGCCGCCAGCAGGCTGGGTGAGGGAGGCAGGAGTGAGGGAGGCTGGGTGAGGGAGCCAGCATCTCCGCCGGGTCCTCTCGCGGGATTCAGAGCGTTGCTGCGGTTACCACGGCAATGCTCAGATCTCACGAGAGTGAACTCTAACCTGCAGGTTAGAGTTCACTCTCACCACTGGACCACCAGGAAAGGCAGCATGGCATCCACCCCCCAGGCAGAACGGATCTCCCCCCCCCCCACGATAAAGGTAAGAAGGGAGGGGGGGATATCATTTTTTTTATTAATAAAAAAATATATATTTAAATTTAAATAAAAAATACGTTCACTCACACACACAACACCCAGACAGACACACACAGCGCACCCCGACACACACAGCGCACCCCGACACACACAGCACCCCCAGACAGACACACGCAGCACCCCCAGACAGACACACGCAGCACCCCGACACACAGCGCCCCCAGACACACACAGCGCCCCCAGACACACACAGCGACCCCAGACACACACAGGCCCCCCAGACACAGCACACCCCCAAACACACACACAGCACCCCAGACCCACACAGCAACTCCCAGACCCACACAGCAACCCCCCAGACACACACACAGCACCCCCAGACACACACACAAAGCAACCCCAAACACACACACAGCAACCCCAAAACACACACAGCACCCCAAACACACAGCAACCCCAAACACACACAGCTAACCCCAAACACACACAGCACCCAGACACACACAGGCCCCAGACACACAGCGACCCCAGACACACACAGACCCCAGACACACACAGCGACCCCAGACACACACAGTGCCCCCAGACACAGCACCCCCAAAACCCACACAGCACCCCCAGATCCACACAGCAACCCAGACACACAGCACCCAAACACACACAGCACCCAAACACACACAGCACCCCAGATCCACACACAGCACCCCCAGATCCACACACAGCACCCCCAGACACCACACACACAGCACCCAAACACACAGCACCCCAAACACACGCAGCACCCAGACACACGAGCACCCAGACACACGCAGCACCCAGACACACGCAGCACCCAGACACACGAAAGTACCCCAGACACACACAAAGACCCCAGACACACACACACACAGCACCCCACACACACAGCACCCCACACACACACAGCGCACCCCAGACACACACAGCGCCCCCACACACACACAGCCCCCAGACACAGCACCCCCAAACACACACAGCACCCCAGACCCACACAGCAACCCCCAGATCCACACAGCACCCCACACACACAGCACCCAAACACACACACACAGCACCCAGACACACACAGCACCCTCACTCACACACACAGCACACTTCCACACATATACAGCACACACACACACACACACACACATATATATATATATATATATATATAAAATAACCCTCAGTGAGTTAACAGACAAAGAAAATTAAAAACCTAGAATTTGCCAGCAGATAAAAACACCCTCACATACAGCACCCCTCTTACATACACACACTGCGCCCCTCACACATACAAGTCCAAATGTGTGTATAAACTCACTGTATTCACGATATTTCTGATCTTGAAAAAGACCCTTGTATGGGTCGAAACGTTGATCGTCATTAAATTGTGGCATTAATAATTTGCACGCTGGAATAAATTTATCACGTACTTAAGAAGACCTGTGAGTGCACCTTGTTTATATATATATATATATATATATATATATATATATATATATATATATATATATATATATATATATATATATATATAGTGACAAAAGTACTCCTTTCCCTTGGTACCTTGTCCTGGGATCGGGGTGTTACACACAGTCTTTTCAGGCTTTAGAGACACTTCACACGCTGGATGAGGTAAACTGACTTGCTCTTTTATTGAGGTTCCAAAATAAATGCACAGTAAGGTATAAAGGTAACAAAAATATATTAAACAAAAGCCTTGCTCTTCTGAGCACTAACTAAACAAAATAATCAGCTAACTGGGTTGGATGGCTTGTCCATTTCCCAACATAAACATAAACATAAACATAAACATAAACATAAACATAAACATAAACATAAACATAAACATAAACATAAACATAAACATAAACAGCCTTACTGCTTCAGGGTTTTCAGCTCTCTGTTTCCACTCACAGAAACCAAACACAATCTCCCTTCTTCCTTGGCAGGGGAGTACTTTATAGCACTGGTAATTGACAATCCTTTTCAGGTGAGTTAGAGCGACCATGGACATTAGAGAGTGCATCCGCGAAAGACCATCTGCATTTCCCTGTTTACTCCCGGCCCTATGCTCAATGGAGAAATTATAGGGTTGCAAGCTAAGGAACCAGCGGGTTACTCTACTATTTTTCTCCCTGTTTTGGCTCATCCAAGTAAGGGGTGCATGGTCTGTCACTAGTCTGAATTTTCGTCCCAAGAGATAGTACTTAAGTGTGTCTACCGCTCACTTTATAGCCAGACACTCCTTCTCAACAATGGAATAGTTTCTTTCCTGGGGATTAAGCTTCCTGCTTAAATATAACATGGGGTGCTCCTCACCCTGAATTTCTTGAGAGAGAACAGCACCTAGTCCTACATCAGATGCATCCGTCTGTAAAATAAATTCTTTAGAAAAATCAGGTGTTACCAACACTGGTTGGGCACAAATGGCTTCTTTAAGCTTTCTGAATGCTTGTTCCGTCTCTGGGGACCATTTTACCACTACTGGAGCATTAGCTTTAGTAAGGTCATTTAATGGGCTTCCAATTGTAGCAAAATTGGATATAAATCTCCTGTAATAGCCAATGAGGCCAAGAAATGTTCTCACCTGTTTCTTAGTCAGTGGTCTCGGCCAATTTCGTATGGCTTCAATTTTAGCAACTTGGGGTTTCACTAGTCCCCTACCAATAGAGTAGCCCAAATATTTTGCTTCCTCTAGGCCAATCATACACTTACTAGGGTTAGCAGTTAAGCCAGCATTTTGTATTGAGTTAAGGACAGCCTGTACTTTTGGAAGGTGAGATTCCCAATCCTCACTGTGTACTACAACATCATCCAAGTATGCAGCTGCATAGCGCACATGCGGCTTTAGTATTCTGTCCATCATTCTTTGGAATGTGGCAGGGGTACCATGCAAGCCGAAAGGCAAAACTCTGTACTGAAATAGGCCGTCAGGAGTAGAAAATGCTGTCTTTTCTTTTGCTCGCTCTGTGAGTGGTACTTGCCAATAACCTTTGGTTAAATCTAGTGTAGTGAGGTACCGAGCTCTCCCAAGTCGTTCTACTAGCTTATCAACTCTAGGCATGGGGTATGCATCAAACTTAGAAATAGCATTCAGTTTGCGATAATCATTACAAAACCGTACTGTATTATCAGGCTTTGGTACCAGCACAATTGGACTGCTCCAGTCACTTTGTGACTCCTCAATGACTCCAAGATCTAACATTTTCTTAACCTCTGCTCTGATAGTTTTTCTACGAGCCTCGGGTATTCTGTATGGTTTGAGATTGACCCTTTTTCCTGGTTCTGTTAAAATGTCATGTTTAATCACGCTAGTCCTTCCTGGGACTGGGGAGAATACCTCTTTATTTAATCTAATAAACTCCTTAACTTCCCTTGTCTGGTGTATTGACAGGGTCTCTGAGATATTTACTTCGGGGTCAATATTACACTTATCAGGGAAGGTTGAAGCCTCTGTAGTAACCAGAATTTCCCTTTCTTTCCATGGTTTTAGCAAATTGACATGGTATATTTGCACTTCCTTTCTTCTACCTGGTTGCCTTACTTTATAATTCACCTCTCCCACTCTTTCAATAATCTCATATGGCCCATGCCAAGTTGCCAGGAATTTGTTCTCTACTGTGGGAACCAAGACTAGTACTCTGTCTCCTGGTTGAAATACTCGAATTCTAGCATCCTTATTATAGCTATTCTGCTGATTTTGTTGAGCCTTTTGCATGTGTTCTCTGACTATTGGCATAATGGCTTCAATACATTCCTGCATCTGAGTTATGTGTTCTATTACACTGCGATGTGGGTTTGCTTCTTGTTCCCAAGTTTCCTTTGCTATGTCAAGTAATCCCCTGGGGTGTCTGCCATATAATAATTCAAAAGGTGAGAAACCCGTGGAAGCTTGGGGTACTTCTCTAATGGCAAACATTAAATAGGGCAATAGAAAGTCCCAGTTTTTCCCATCTTTATCAATTACTTT